TTGATGTTATGATTATTAAATTGTTGTTTAAATCTTGGTAACATTTAATATAATGAAATGATACAAAAGGCACTTTCCAAAAATCAAGGAAAATGGTAAACAGTTTAGAGAGATAGGAATGATAACTGATCCCTTGGTAACTAAGTCTTTGTAGAGCCATCTATGTGTAAATACAATAAATAAACTTGTATTATAGTGGGCATGACATATATTCTTAAATTATATGCCGATTGGGTTAACAAGATGCAACATAAATTGACCATCATTTGCCTCATAGAGCATGGGTAGGGTAACTAGCCCATGCACTCATACTCCTGGTAACACCAGAACCGTGCCAGCTGTAGATGGCAAGCTCACCGTTACCACACAGTCTGTGAAAGGCGGCAAGGTTGTGGTCATGAGGACCTTACAGAATGGGATATCAGACGCTGGGGTTCACATAAGATTCGTGGCAGGCGTGCGGGCGCATGCTGAGGGAATATCATCCTCAGACTTTGAATAACTACTACAGGGAAGTCATCACGGGTCTCGTGATTGCGAGCAAGTTCTGAGGGAAAACCATCCTCAGGCCTACCAGAAACAACCACAGAGGAGACATTGCTAGTCGAGGATGCACGAGACGTGACTGAGGGACACCCATCTTCAAGTTTAACAGAAACAACAGCTAGGTCAGATAGAGTGGCAACCTGAGCCGCGGGCTGTAATGCAGGAAGGTGTGGGGGTAGCCCAGACGTGCTACCATGAAATTATGACACAATAACATGTCACCACCAGGGATGGCAGGGTTTATGACAATGAAGGGATGATAGTAAGTCAATTCACCCACTACTTGCTCCATGGGGACAGTCTGCAGGGGGTAGTAATATTGTATTTCTTCAGGGTAGTAGTGGGGATGATGCCATAAGGATGGTCTACAGGGGGTAGTGATATTGTAATTCCTCAGGGAAGTAGTGGGGATGATGCTGATTGCACTACCAGAGTCAAGGAAGGAAAAAATTTTATTATCTTCAATACAGATAGTCATGTGGACATATTACTTTTACACAAACGCCTGGCTCCGAGGGTCCGTCAGATGACTCGGCCTGGCAACTACAAAATGTGAATATGCTGAGTTCTGTTGCCTACTGTACATGCGAGTCAATTCGAGTCTCGTTTGGCGAACCTGGTCAGGGAAAGTACAGCAGTCCTCCCACCTGTGCCACCCACAGTCCACTCACACTGTTGCAATTCTGCAAATCCGCGGGGTGGGGTGCATGCAGGTAGTGTACTGCATGGTTACAAGGTGGGCATGAGTAGGATTGGTCAAGGGAGCGTGAAGGTCGACGATTAGCTACGTTGGCAGGTGGGTCGGCGTGCGAGTCAACACCTGCTGACACACTGTTAGTGAGTCGACATTATCCTTATTATCCGGGAATGATACTCTCTCTACGTATGCAACAACAGCACCAGCTGACTCGAATACCAGAGAGGCTCTCTTTCAAGCACATGTAAAATTGGGTATTAAACGCTCGTCGTTGGAAGGGGGGGAGGGCATAATTGTGACTAATGCATTCTACCAATTTTCTAGGGAGTGCTACCCCCTAACGGGAGCTGCCTTGCCGCGGTGGGGGTGCTTGAGGTCCCAATGATCTGGTGAGCCGGACCATACTGAAGGGGTCAAGTTAGGGTCAAGCAGGCACTGTCCAGTCGGTAGTACATAGGTCCTGCCACTGCCATCAGCACTGTGACTGCGTATATTTCCTCACTACCCCTGTGGCTGTTGGGGGTAAGGAAATGAAGAATTCTCATTTGTATGATTTCTACAAATTTACAAATAACTAGCTCTCTCCCTGACGACCTACAGAATCCCCAGGCCAATCCCTCTGGAACGGCACATGTCACTTGGGATTGGTTCCCGGGCTCCCAAGCCAGGTAAGAAGGACAAAAGTCCTCCTCAATCCATTAAGGAAATCTTCCCTGGTAAATATGAAAGTATCTTATATAGTAAATACCTAGTAGTGAAGACCATTGCTGGTGTATCAGTCATGGATCTTGATGTTTGTGAAGTACATCGGAAGATAGTTTAGGTGTGTCAACATGACCCTCACATCACCCCACAACGAAATGGTAGCCTGATAGGTGAAGTTTTACCACCAAGTGAGAGTGACTGTCTGCATGCCATATATGACACATTCCTGGGGCTCAAGTCTCATGTTCTCACAAAACACTCAATCAATGTAAATGAATTGTCTCTTCCCAAGACCTGCTGAGGTGTAATTTAATTTGGCTTCTGACCATTCTATGGTCGCTGCCAACATTTACTATATTATTATTATTATTATTATTATTTTTACTAAATCGCGCCTATTTGAAATTATGAAGTCAATTTCGTTGTTGGTGTCAGATGGTGACTTCCATGTCCACTTCCGCTCTGGTCTTTTTTCGAAGAATGTATTCATGATACTGAGTTATCAAGCCTCCGCAAACTCGACTAGCATTTACCCCTTTTCATTTCTTGTGCCTACTTCGTGATTCCCCACTACGGTTTCTCCTGTCTTTTTATTTATTTTGGCATTAAAATCTCCCATAATTATTGTGAGATGGGTTTTTTCTCTCTCGGTGGCTAAATGAATATTTTCATAGAAGCTCTCTTTAAGGTATACCTATCGTTTAGTTTTATAGTTACTGAAGCCACTCTTTCGCTTATACTATAGAATTCCACGATATTCTTTTCTAAACGTTTGCGAACTAAGAAACCTACCCCTAATTCCTGCTTGCTACCCTGAGGTTTATCTCTCTAGAAGAGCACGTGTCCATCATTTAGTATTTTCTGTTCTTCGCCATATTTTCTGTTCTTTCCCTAGTCCTCTAATATCAATATACCATTTAATGAAAGAGAGTTCCTCAAGTAATGTTAATAAGTCGGATTCCGTTCTTATTGTCCTTATATTATATGGGCAAAGATTCATCAACGTGAGGCAGCCTATTTTTAGCACCCATTCCTCCGGAGCGATCCTGATAGCCACCGTAACCAGGGGCTCCTTCGCCTTCGGGGAATGAGGGCCGTTGCTCTGTTTTGTTCAGTCATGGTTTTTGATTGAGAGGTAGACAGCCGAATTATCCCCCCTCCCCCCACCTCCACCTACTGGTTTCGGTGTATTTTAGCCGGGATGCCCTCTAGCAGGGT